TAGAAGAAATTGATGAATTAATATAAATGCATTTTTTGGAAAATCACGTGATAAAAATTAAAAATGTCATTTTTGTATATAATGAAAGTGATAAAAAAAAATTTTGCTTTTATTTTGAATTGAAACATTTTGCACAGAATTTGATGTGTTAAAGTGATCCGCACCGTACCTTGGGCAACATCATTTGTAAATTTTACTGTAAAAGGATGCAATTTCCAAGTGAATTTAGTGAAGAAATAAAGAAACTTCTTGCATTTTGGCATGATATTATCCTCGAAAGACATAAAGATGATGATGACGAAGTTTTTTGCAGTGACCCTTTGTTAATAATTGAGTACAATCAATCGGGTCTTAATAATCTACCTAAGATTATAGTTATTAACATGAACTGAAAAAGAATTAAGGAAAAAGATATTAATATGTTGATTATTAAATAACTATAAAAGGTGAACAGGAACATAGATACAAAGTTGATTCTTGTCAGTTTTGATAAAGTAATGTCTGTATGATCAATATACAGAAAGGATTTATGATAAATTGTGTCACGGCAAATAGACTTGTCTCTGATATGTAATAACGATGTAATGATGGTGGAAATTACAGATAATCCAAAAAAAGCATCTACGTGAGCAGGAATTTGTGATCTTTGATTTTACTAAGCTAGATTAGGATGGATATCTCCCCACTTTCGATTTATATATAAAAAGTATTGTAAAATTACTATTGAGTAAAGCATGATTTCATGATTCAAGTTTTCTTTCTGCCTCTTGCAATTCTATCTTCTTCTCTTCAACCGGGAAAACTAAAGAATGTAACAAGTATAATTTGACAAGATACTCTGACAGGTTCTATGGAGGTTGCATCAGTTTACAATTACAGAGTCTTTTAGCCACCTGAACATCTGGAAATAACATAGTTGATACCTTTATTATTCAACAATGTCAAAATGAAACCATCTTTACCAAGTTGTGTTTAGAATGAATCTGCATTTACCATTAAGCTTCCGATTTCATTTCGATCAAAATAGTGATATTAATTGAACGCGCGAGTAGATCAGGTTTATTGATCATCGTTAAAAGTTTAAAAAGCCTTTTAGAGCAATGTTTAATATTTGTCAACTTCTTCGGATATTTATTGTCCCTTTTCTTTATTTTTCTCTTCTGGGAATTACTTTTTATAATTCTTGATAAAAGATATTATATATATATATGTATATATACTGTATATATGAATAGCAAAAAAGTGTCAAGTGGGTTTAATTTTTGCGCAAAAAAATAGAAATAACGCTTTCTCCATTTTTACTGGTTTACTTCCAATGCACCTGCTATTGCTTTATCACCGACTTTCTTGGTTATGAATGGGCATGGATGGGTCAAAAGCTTTCTTAACTTATTACAAAGAAAGTTCACATATTTTTGGAACTATTGTTGTTATTATTATTCAATTTGCACCAAGTATTTCAATGTTTGTAGATTTTCTTTTGTCTATGGGTTAATTGGACTTTGATCGATGTATCCATCTCGAGTGTTTTTATTTTTATTAATAAATTGATTTACGTTACATCATCCTAATCTTAATATTGCATCTCGGAAATCACTATTACTGGTTAGAACCAATTTATCGCGTGTGTGTATATAATGCTTCTGGTCGTCAAAGTTCTTTCAAATTTAATAACTTCTATAATAAAAATAAAAATATCTTCAAAAACGATCAAAAAGAGTCCACAAAAAACACCAGAGCCAATAGATCATGTGACCAATCAAGCTTCTTCAGCTCTAGGAGGTGTAGGTTCAAAATCCTTCAATTGAACAACAAGAAAGAGATAATGTTGTTCATTGTCCCACAATTTGGTAGTACGCTCTTGAGGGTATAGGCGTCGTAATAATAATCCTACTACTAATATTAACACTTGATAATTATTATTTTTATTTGCCATTATCATTTTATCGTTATTATTTTTATTAATAATCATATTCATGAATTATAATAGATTATTAGAAGATAAAAAACGAGGGAATGATCGTCAGAGCTGTTGATACTGTGAAGGTATTATTTATTTTATTTTTTATTTATCTTATATTTATTTATACTTGAAAAAATATCTAAACTTATAATTTAGGAAACTGTCTTTGGTAAATAATTAATTGGGCTGGAATGAACAAATTTATTTTTATTTTTATCAACATTTAATACTAATAACATTTAGTTATGATAAATAAAAACATTGTCTTTCAAGACTTTCTTGTCAATTTGTGTTTCCAATTAATATTTGTTATTTATTTATAAATAGAGATGAATTCTATTTTCCTTATTGTAATATTAATATTTATTTATTTAAATAGAAATAATTTGTATTATTAATAATAATAGTAAACACAATAATCATCCCAGAGTAAATAATTGCAACAACAATGAATAATCGTAAAATTATAAACTTTCTAAATTTAAAATCTCTTTTGAATGAATTTACTTTGTCTTGATTTTCTAACTTCTTGAAGCCGTCATGTTGTATGAATCCTTCGCCTGATATCAATCGAATATTGCTTAACAATAAAACACACCAACCTTCAAAAGAGTCATAGGTGATGTATAAATTGTAATTGATCAATCACAGAAAAAATATTTCATAAGAATTAATTTCTTTGACAGCTAGACCAGTTATTTTTGACCAAGCTTTGTTGGAGTGATCACGATCTTGAAGATATTTTGATGAAATTATCAACGAGATTAAAAAATATTCTTCTACAACAAAGTATCGTTATTATAGGCGTGCATGAAGATGCTGTTGGAGGTATTTTATGAATCTGTTCTTTTAATATTTCAATCTTTGGCCTAATTCTAAATAAGTAAAATAATGCAGTTTGAAGGGTTGAACATGAAGAAGTTCTTGATCTTCTTAAAATTTCTTCCAAAAAGGTTTTTAAAGACAATCAATTTGATTTTGTATTGTCACAATCAGGCCAAATCACCTCTAATATTAAACGACTCCCATCTGGATAATTTATGAATGTATGTAAGTACGCATAAATATATTCGATTTATAATAAAATAATTCCAATAATTATTCACTTACCAATCAAATTTTCAACAAATGCGGCTTTATTATTTTTTCATTTACTAATTTCAAGTCTGTTAATGTTGACGGCAATGGTATATAGCCATCTATCTATTTATAAGTTGATGTAACCATGAGGCTACACAAACATATGGTGATTTTATTAAAAAGATCAATCAATTTGATTGATTATCCTGTTTAGTTTTCTTAATTTTCTATAAATAATAAACAATATACAAATCTGAAATGAGCAATTTTCATAAAGAACCTCACGAAATCGGTTTGCAAACTGATCCCGATCCAACTGACGTTGCTATAATTTCACTTTTACAAAAAAAATACTCGTTCAGTGTTTCTTCTTTTCCAACTTTAGGAAATGATAAACTGAATGAAATATTGAAAATTTCTTCTGGTAATTATTCAAATGGCAGCAACCTTCAAAATTCAAAACAATCATCGTCGTCACCCTTACTAATTAATGGTACAAAAACAACAACAACAACAATAACAACACCATTATTACACAATCCTCTAGCAACTACTAATGAGATTGATAAAACATTAAATAGCGCATCACAAAAGAATCTTATTGAATCATCAAGTTCAGCCACAACAAATAAATTGATATACGTTCCTCCTCAACAACGCGTTAATAATCACAAAGACCATACTGATGAATCTGATTCATTTTTTAAACAGCCTGTAAAAGAGAAATCATTGTATAAAATTCCACAAAGATCAACATCATATAAAGAAGAAAATCATTCAACTACCACTAATAAAGGTTCTTGGGATAGTATTCCACCACAGCAATCAACTAAAAATGATGATTGTATCACGTCTGCTTCATCACCACAACAACAATCAACTAATAAAAACGCTTGGGATACCGTTCCACAGCAATCTACTAATAAAGGTGGTGGTTGGGATGTTGTTCCACCACAGAAGCCAATTAAAAATGATGATTGGATCACGTCTGCTCCACCACCACAACAATCGGTCAAAAAAAATGATTGGGACACATTTGCTTCTTCGCCACCACCACAACCGGCCAAAAAAGATGATTGGAACACATTTGCTTCGTCGCTACCACCACCACCACAACAATCATCACTTAAAGTAGATAGTTGGGGCACAAATGCTCAACAACAACAATCAACTGATCAATTAACTAATAAAGGTGGACCTACTTGGAATGTTGCTACACCATCATCAACTAACATAGATGATCGGAGGGATACTGCACCACAGCAATCAAATATACAAACACCATGGGGCACCACTACTACTGACACATCATCAGGTGTAGTAGCAGATAATTCAAACAACAGAAATTCTTGGTTGAAACAAGCAGCTGCATTTGAGGAAGAACTTGGCACAAAAAATACTACTGATAATGAAAATACCGCAAAACCACCAAGAGACAATTATAATGAAGGTTATTCAAATAATAATAATGGATACGAATACCAGAATTATGGCAAAAGAGGTTTGTACAAGTTGCAATATACGTGTTTGATTAAGTATAAGATTACATCTTATCATTAAAAATTATTTTTATTTTTATTATTATTTTT